ATGATAACCAATGATGATCACCCAATGTCAAATGACCAATGATAACCAATGATTTTTTTTTTTTTTTTGGGGGGGGGGTGGGGGGGGAGCAACATGGGGCAACTAAGTTAGCTATGGCTGGGTTGACAAAGATCCAACAAATTGCAGATGTTTGCTTTAGGCCACTGAGAGTTTCTTTGGAACACCTAGGACCTAGTCGTAGCCTTGGGGAGAGGGTGGAATTGACCCACACAGACTTCATGATCTTCATGTAGATCATTCAAATAAGTCATTCATACATGTGTCAGCTACTGTTTTTCTTCGTTCAACATGGCTTAAACATTGCCTTCAAAACGGATAGTCGGAATATGGAATGGCATATTTATGGCATATTCCACTATTCTCATCATTTACCATATTGCTATCATGGAATCACTATTACTATCATTGCTATCATTACTATCATTACTATCATTACCATCATTACCATCATTACCATCATTACTATCATTACTATCATGTACTCTGGCATATTACTATATTTACGGCCAAACACCTTGATTTGCCCGCGCTTGTCCGCGGCCATCTTCGTATGTGCTGAAGACGTGGTAAAAATGGGAGTTTTTTGCATCATGGCTAACTTCATGTTCTATATCGGCACGCACAGCATAGGGACCTGTGCGAGTCTCTTACACCACATCATCATCATCATCATCACCACCATCATCAAACCCTTATTGAAGATCTTCAATGGATGTAGAAGTTTAACGGGGCTGGGAGAATTAAACCCTTATTGAAGATCTTCAATGAATGTAGAAGTTTAACGGGGTTGGGAGAATTAAACCCTTATTGAAGATCTTCAATGAATGTAGAAGTTTAGCGGGGGTGGGAGAATTAAACCCTTATTGAAGATCTTGAAGTTTAACGGGGTTGGGAGAATTAAACCCTTATTGAAGATCTTCAATGAATGTAGAAGTTTAGCGGGGGTGGGAGAATTAAACCCTTATTGAAGATCTTCAATCGGGGGTGGGAGAATTTAACCCTTATTGAAGATCTTCAATGAATGTGGAAGTTTAACGGGGGTGGGAGAATTAAACCCTTATTGAAGATCTTCAATGAATGTAGAAGTTTAACGGGGGTGGGAGAATTACACCCTTATTGAAGATCTTCAATGAATGTAAAGTTTAACGGGGGTGGGAAATTTATATTCCCTAAATACCCTTGTTGATCTTCCCAATTGAATGTAAAGTCTAACGTTTGATATCCCCAAGTGTACAGCATAGAAGGGGTGTGGGCGAATCGGGGTGTTTGCGCGTATATTTACTATTATTACCATATTGTTATTGAGACTTAAGCATAAGGTTCTTCCATGTCAGTTGTATTTTGCATCAGGCCGATGGGAGGACCAGCTCTATGCGCATCGCGGCGGGTTGTAAAACCGTGGCTGGGAAATCCCCTATAAACAATGGGAAAACCGTTGGAAATCATAGAAACATATGGGAAAGATATGGGAAAATCTGGGAAAGATATTGGAAAATCCACTACAAATGGAGGTGTCTAGCTGGGAAAATCACACACGCATGTTTTTTTAACCGGAGGTCACCAGCTAGTGTGAAAATCAAGATGAACTTAGGCATTTAGATGTGTTTGACAACCAGGTTCGAATTCTCTAAGCAATATGGCATTGACAATCATTGAGTGGATTCGATTGAATAACATTATATAATCAAAGGGAACAACGACGTTTAGATATGTTCATGTCAGCCATGCAATCTTTGGGAACATGTGAATAGCACATAATACCTCAAATAAGATTTTGTCCCAGACCCCAAAAAATGAGACAAGTCAGGGTAAAAATCGACCAACACCTGATTGGTGGTTTGGAACATTTTTTACTTTTCCATATATTGGGAAGAATCATCCCAATTGACTTTCATATTTTTCAGAGGGGTAGGTATACCACCAACCAGAAACCCATTTCCTTGCAGAATATCCATTTTTTTGTTTGGTGAAACCACTTTAGTCGCTTTAGTCCTACCTCAGGGTGTCAAGGCCTCTTTTCGGGGTGTCCCCCTTTTCCGCGAAGGGCAGGGGCCCAGCAGATGGCCAACAGAAGGAAGTGGTGAACATCATCACGGAGGCACCGCTTCGGAAGATGATAATGTAATGTTAGTATATGTTAGTATAGCAATCATAAAACCACCTATAACGACCTATAGCCACCTATAACCTATCATAAATCACCTATAGCCTATAGTCTGATAGTTTTATTTATAGTTTATACCGATTCTGCGGATCCATTGATGGTAAAAAATAATTAGGATGAATCCTAGTGCTTTACTAAGTGCATACAACATTGATTTTTTTTCGGTGTGCCAGATGGACAAAGCATGACAAAGCTGAAAAAACTGCTGATGCCAGGTGGCAGGGAGCAGCAGGTTGGGGTTTTATGGAAGCCCGGTGGTTCTGTGTGCGCGGCACGGGCCATGATGAGACAATCAATTTAAGTATGTCATATGGTATGCATGACAGAAATCATTCTCACTATCATGTATCATGATCATGTAGTGAAGGGAATTTTCACGAGTTTTATGTATATATATATATTTGATTATCTATACATATATATATATATGAATATATTATTGCTTGATGATCTTGATGAACCTCCCGGATACTGTACAAATTTGCACGTTCCCTCTATAGAACGCCACAACGCCTGGCCGCGTTGCCAGGAGCTCGCACGAATTCTTCGTGGCCCGGCGGGTCTTGAAAGGTGCCTTGATGCTGAGAATGGATCGAGAATTTGATGGAAATCCATCATCAAACTTCTGGGCAAACCTAAAAATGGTAGATGGCTGATTTCTATTTAACCTATATGTTGCAAAGGCTGAAAAATAAATTCTTACTATATCCACTGGAATTACATGGGTGACAGGGTATCCGCCGAGCTGTCCTTGGCTCGCCTTCAGCAAGATGCTGAACTCCTGGAGAGTGTGATGGAGAGAGAGAGAGAGAGAGCGAGAGAGAGAGAGAGAGACAGGGTATCGCAACGTAACCATGTTTTTGCCATCTAAGACGTTCATGCATCCTGCGTGGGGACAACAGTTCTTCCATCCGTTGCAGGATCGGTTTCCTGTAGCTTTGAACCTCAATCGTCCTGTGTTAGACTGTTAGTGCGCGGAAACTGTGAAGCTATCACAGGGCCGGGAACCAGCTCTACCTTTTGAGAAAACCAAAAGATTCTCACAAGTGGACATCTCCAAACACTTTGTTGAATCATGAAGAAACAATGGAATTTTGGATAATCTTGTAACAACTTTGACACCTTGTACCCATCTGAAACAGGCGGATGGAACGGCAGGGCATTCCAACCCTTGGCTGTCGCGTTGCCCGTGCAAGCCGATGCGCCTTAGCTCTGGGAGCTGGGGAAATTCCTATGGATCCAACCGTAGCTTCGAGAAGGAAGCATTTGTGGTACGTTTTGGGATGTTTTTATATGTTTTTTTTAGGGAATATTTGGATGCATAGGGATCCATAGGGCCTATTCATGCCTATTAGCTATATACAAAATTGATATAAATACATGTATAATGTATATAATTAAATAGATACTTATTGTGGAGAGAGACTTACATATATTATATGCATATATTATATTTGGTTGGTGGTTTGGAACATTTTTTGCATATATTGGGAATGTCATCATCCTAACTGACGAACTCATATTGTTCAGAGGGGTAGGTATACCACCAACCAGATATCATTGGTGATTTATATGTTTTTCATTGATGTGGTATAGCCATGGCCTCAATGGATAGCCCATGATAACCTACAATGGATATAACTTATTTGGCAGAATTATAACATACTATTAATGGTTATTAATGGATATTAATGATAATTAATGGATATAACTAGTTATTAATGAATAAATACTCATGACTAATGGGTTATTATTGGTTCTTAATGGTTATTAATGGATGATAATTACTGGACTTTAATATATATATATATATAATATTGCTATACTACTATAGTTTTTTTTTTTAGATTTAAGATTTCATTATCATATATTATCATACTATATATATATATATAACTTTTAGATTCGCGTGGTTACCCCAGCCATGGATCTTGTGCCTTTGGTGATCCCCCCGTTTAGGTGCCTCAGAAGGCCTTTGCGACCTTGCCGTTGGGAGACCCGGGCGACCTCGACTATATCGCATAATGGGCAGATAATTGGGCATATACTAAATCGCATAATAGTATTGTATAATATGATAGTATAGAGTATATAGTAATACTTAGTATATAGTATAGAGTATGGAGCATGGAGTATAGAGTATAGAAGTATAGAGTATAGTATAGTAAGATAGATAGATTGATAGATAGATAAATATATATATATATACCTATATATATATATATAATGGCAATATAATGGCGATCTAATGAGAGATTGAAACCGAGCAACTAAACATGTTTAGCATTGTTAATCTTGTGCAAAAACAAATAGTCGTTGTTCGCTCTTGTGCTAACCAACCAATAATCAAAATTGCAGATTTTTGTTTCTAAGATTGGCCATGGCATTTGGAAGTTGCACAACATGCAATAGAATCCTGAACTTTGCAAGATCTCATGTTTTGTGGCTATACAGCAGTGACGGTGAAGTGTAGTTTGACAGTTTGATGCCCAGCATACCCATGGGCTGTTTGGAGAAGTGGTGTTGTGAGCCTCTCTTTTGCACACAGAAATGTGGAGATGTAGAGTGAGGATTTCAGTAGCCAGGTCTTGGCTTCTAAAATGCTTGTTCTGGATTGGATTGGCAGGGTTCAATAAAATCGTGACCCCATCTTTGACCCATACCCACGGTTTTCCAAGGGGTTTCTCACGTTGTAATTTGCCTGTGCCGGGCAGATGTCCAGATTCCCACATGCCGAGCCAAGGCTTTGTCATACGGGACTGAACGTTTGCATCAATGCATCTTGGACGTAGATCATTCTACATCTTGGGCTGGCATGCTGTGCCGGTTGCAGCTATCCCATGAGAATCAAACATGGCAACGAACAAATCACCACGTGTACCCCTTAAAGGGATGGTTTACTCAGAAAAGACCGGGGATTGCTGGCCATCCATCGATGAGGATCCTGCTCTCAACTTTTCGGAGTTAGCCTCCATTAATTCAACATAGCAAGTGGATATCCCCCGTTTATATACATATACACATGATTTTCACAGCTATAAACCTTCATTTATAGAGGATTTCCCTGTATTTACCTATGATTTTCACAGCTATAAACCTCCATTCATAGATGGATCTTCCCATATTTTCCTATGATTTTCCCAGCTATAAAATTCCATTCATACATGGATTTTCCCGTATTTTCCTATGATTTCCAATTTTTCCCATTGTTTAGAGAGGAATTTCCGTACATTAAGTTACATCCCCAGTGGTGATCCCATTTTCTCAGGCCGATTGGGATGTGTCTGCCTGGATGCCTGGCTTTGCGCTTGTCCGCCTTAGTATTTGGGATGATGTTTCCCCCCGGACAGCCATCGCCGAGTCGCCGAGTCGCCGAGGCCAGCCGTGATGGAGTCCATGAGAACGGCCACAACGAGGAGCTCTCCCTCCAAGCAGCAGAGGCGCCATGGGGACCATGGCCTTGTCCAGCAAGTTGGCTCTGAAAATTGGGTGCCCCCCCTATCATTAAGCTCCGATTTTCAGACAAAGCTCTGTGTGCGTGTGTCTTCGTATTCAAGACTTCATACTGGTAGATACTTGTAGAATATCTTAGTTGATATGTTCCCTCTTATCTATCTATCTGTTTGTTTGTTTGCCTGCCTGTCTGGCCGTCTGTCTGTCTATCTGCATATTATAATTTATAGATATTCATAAAACACATATGTGTTTATTATGTAAGTTATATATATATATATACATATATATAATATATATATGAGCAAAGACCTAAAAGGTTCATGCAGAAATCTGTACATGAGAGGTCATATGGTGGAAAATGCTGCCCAAACCATGGAAAGCGATATGGCGAACTACTTAAAGCGATAACGTGATTTGATTGTGAAGTTGAAAGGTGTTGTTGTTTTTTCCCAGCCATGTGGGATTGTATAGTAACCTCATTTGCATTGTTTTTGTCTTCGTCGGATGTGAACCCAGGGGCTCCAAAAAGGCCTAGCGGTGCTCGCAAAGGCCTGGAGTACGCACTTCTGAAAACAGAACTTGCTGCCAAAACCTGTCACGCGACAGGCTCTGGAAAGCAGAGACTGTGCTTGAGAAACAGTCTTTCTTCTTTAACATGTTTCTTGATTTTACCAGATGAATTTATCGATCACCAAATCGTAGCTATAACCAACAATCGCCAAAAGGGGACCCGGGCAGCCAAAGACCCAATCCATCCCTGGAGTGGCGCATTTCAATTTTCCGTCAATGTCTTGAAGCCTCTACTTGGGGTGGTCCAGCCTGGCCTTGAAACCTACCATTGAATATAACTTTGATCCAAAAAGATCCAAAGAGATGAACAGAATCTGCAGAAGCAGAAGGCGCGCAACAGTGAGCTGTTCTGAAGGAAAATTCCTTTCGCACTTTGGAAGACAAACAGTGTCCAGCAGACTGCTGACCATGAAAAGTCCCTATTGTTGGTTCCGTGGGGATGAATGGACATGGATCTCCAAATCTACAGCCGTTGTTTGACATGCCCCAAAGCCATGTAAATCGATATAGCGAACGATCTAGATCGATAACTTTTGCTCATGACTGCCTTTGTGACCCTTAGTTTTGGTCCCCGCTCATATGTGTAATACATAAAGCAATTCAAATTATATATAAATACATGTATGTATATGTTTATTTTTACGCATATAGTATAGTCTTAAGAGGACATTGTTGGACACCAAAAACCGTTACAACCGTTCGCCACGGTTTGCGTTCGCCAGGCCTTTGCTCAGCTGGCACGGGGGTTGGGCGATCAGCCAGCAGCTGAGTGGTAGCCATTGGCAGCCGGTTGAATGGTTGGCACATGGAAATTTAAGCATCATATAATATAATTACCCACCGTTTATTTTACCAGGTACCAGCCGAACACAATTTCATCAGCATTTCCAGGGGCTTCAAGTTGAAGGCAAGGTTGATATTCAATGGATATCAGCCTGTCAGCTGTTAATTTCAAAAAATGGTAACACCCAAAAAGAAATGGGGAAGCCGCTTCAACTGGTTTCATGAAACATCTGGCTATATGCATGCATACATATATATATATATATGCATATATACATGTTTATATATATATATATTTAATATGTAGGTCTATAGGTATATAATTGAATGGTGAGTGATGGTTGGTGGATGATTATTCCAGAATCATCCCGTCATTTGTAGGGTTACCGGTAGTACCCGCACGAGGCGGAGCGGAAGTTGCCTTAGGGTTATACTATAAGACTCTTCTCATCTATAGAACTTGTCCAAGAACATGACCTGGGCTGGACCCTGGCGCAATGCAACGCCAAGTGAACACTTTCATCACTCTTCCCACTGCATTTTTCACACCCCGGACTCCACACTTCACACTCGCGCTTCGTCTCAACTCATCTCATCCGAGCTCTTCTCATCTCATTTCATGTCTTCTCATATGTCAGCTAAGTTCTTGTTGGCTATTTTCATTTCATCTGAGCACAGCTCAACCTTTCTCATATTACAACCAATACGGTGATTAAGTTTTTGTTCACAACCAGTATGTTCACCATTTCACAAAGCTTGCACAAAGTACTTTCCAGTGCTACTTTGTACCCTTCATCGCCGCCTGCAGCCACTTTACGCGGAAACATGCAAAGTTTCGTGCTCCGGCTTCCTCCCCAAAACAAACCCCGTGCAACATTTATGCAGCCAGTACACTGCATTCCACGCAAGTCATGCAGCCATTACAATGCGATTTGCATCCACACGTTCTTGGCAGCAATCATGCAGCCAACTTCCCAGGTCTCCGCTTCCCTGTGTCACCACTTGCCTAGGTCGCCATTTCTCTTGGTCACCACTTCCCTAGGCCACACACCCCATGCAACATGAATGCAGCCATTACAATGCGTTTTGCAGCATCAAGTGTCTAACCCGCATGTCTCTACGCACATGGCAACAAAACGTGACAGCAATCATGCAGCCAACCTCCCAGGTCTCCACCTCCCTTCGTCACCACCCCCCTAGGTCCCCACTTCCCTAGGTCGCCGCTTCCCTTGCTCACCACTTCCCTAGGTCGCCGCTTCCCTTGCTCTCCACTTCCCTATAGGTCACTTCTTCTCTTCCCTGAGGCACCACTTCCCTAGGTCAACACCCAGCCTTCATCAGATGTGATGTCAAGTCTCACACCACCCTTCATTAGGTAAAAATCATCAGATGTCAAGTCTCACACCACCCTTCATTAGGTAAAAGTCACCAGATGTCAAGTCTCACACCACCCTTCATCAGGTAAAAATCATCAGATGTAAAGTCTTACGCCACCCTTCATCAGGTAAAAGCCATCCGTAACTCGGAAGATTGCTGCCCAACTTCCTTTGATAATTTCAGTTATATGGGTGGGTATACCCCAGATCTTGGGATGGAATTGGTGAAATGGTGGTTGGTTGATGATTTGTTTGGGGGTTATACTACCCAATATTCGGTGGATTATCGCGTATAGATCTTATTGAAATATGTTGAAATAGGATAGAGACAGAGACAGAGAGAGAGTGAGAGAGAGAGAGATCCCAAAACAGAGCATAAACCAATATAAACCATGCATATATCGTTTACATTCATATCCAGATTCAAACCATGATTTAAACCATGGCATTTGGGGTTAATTACTCATGTCCAGACAAACCAATGTTAATCAAATGGGGATATTGATGATATTGATCGACTGTTGCCCCGAACAGTGGCCTGGCCTGTAGCCGGGCTTCAAATTTTATTTTCCATGACCTCAAACTTTTTGTTTTTTGAAACTAGCGATAAGTTGAAACCAGGAACATATTTGGACATGGTCACATGACGGGATAATCTATGCATCACGGAGGCTGGAGGCATCTCCGGTGGATTACCTCGGGGACCGGCCTCCCTTGTCACGTCTCTGGGCATCAAAACAAGGGAACAGCCTGTCACCGGGTTTGAAGATGACTTGCTCTTTCCCCATTGGAATCATTGGAGAACCTTTAGGGAACATTTTATTTATTTGTTTCGCAATCTTGAGTAAAACCAAAAATATGCCGCACATGACTGGTACTTTCAAGAGTAATGTTTTCTACTGTCTACCTTGTTTGGATCACCTACCGATACCTACAGTCATTTTTTAAAGGGAATACTACTGTACCCTCCCCCCCAAAAATAAACACACAACTTCCTCACCAGATGAAAGTGGGAAATCATGGAAAAACATGGGAAATCATGGAACGTGTTCTTTTCGACGATCTGGGGCACTTCCGCAGTTGTTCAAAACATGGGTTAGGAATTGGCATATGTGAATTTGGCATGAGGAATATTTGGAAAACCCAAACTGCAAGACTTCCACAATCAGTTTGATGCCTTTGTTCCCCTGTTCAAGTAACATTTTAAAAAAAAATGTTTCGTTGTACCAGTGTGCATGAGGCCTATTTTTTTGTGTTTCCCGCGATTTCTCATGGAATGTCTACCTTGGCAGCCAAGGTTTTTGGCGCAAGGTGCGCGAAAGGCCGGAAAAAACATGAATTACGGTTCGTTGGGCGCCTATAACCAACAACCTGGTGGTATAATGGTGATATTATAAGGATTTAGTTTTTACCACCAGTACCAAAGACACCGCCAAAGAGTGGGATGGACAGTTGGTTTCCACTGAAAAGAGAAAACCCAAACATCAGTTTTTAAGCTGATTTACTGGAGAGTACTGTAATGGATAAATAATGATAAATATGGACCATATATAATAATCTGGATCATGGGATTATTAATCCTTCATCAAACATGTTTTCTTATATTTGGTATCCAGCAGAACCAGCTGAACAGAACCCAGGTTTCGACCCCCCAGCCATGTATCTATGTATTCATATGTGTCTATCTATCAATCTATCTAATCTATCTCATCTATCTCATCTATCTCATCGATCTCATCGATCTCATCGATCTCATCGATCTCATCGATCTCATCTATCTCATCTGTCTCATCTATCTATCTATCTATCTATCTTGATTGACCCATGTAATGCTTATAACGTGAAAATTATATTCTGGGTTCCTGGGCGCTAATTCTAGGTTCCTGGGCGCTAATTCTATGTTCTTTTATGTTTCTGGAACTAAAGTGCTGTGGAAATAGAATTTGACTTTTGCAATGTCCAAGTTTGGATTCCTTTGACCATAAGGGGTTCGGCTATCAGATTCTTAACCCAGAACCGCCCAGGATTGCCCAGGACTTCCCAGGACTACCCAGACACTGCCCAGGTACTACCCAGGAATCCTGGAACAGTTGTGCTAAGCATTGCAGAATTATAATGCTTATCGTAAGTGTCACCGAAATGGTTTGGCGTCTATAATGCTTGGCGCAACTGTCAGGTCGATTCCTGGGTAGTACCTGGGTACTAACTTCTGCCAGGATGTACTTCAACACTACCCACGAATCATCTCCAAGTTGTGACATGCATTAGACCGCGCTTGAGCTATCCCAAGCACCAGATGTCCTAGTTTTTGAGCGGTCAAGCACCAACTTTTTTGATCTCCAGCCCCTGACCGTGCCACCCTCGGTGCCCCGCACCGTGCCCCGGATTTTTGCCATGTTATAAGCATTACGTGGGATAATCAATATCTATCTATCTATCTATCTACCTACCTCTCTATCTATCTACCTATCTATCTATCTATCCATCTATCTATCTATCTATCTATCTATCTATCTCTCTATCTCTCTATCTCTCTATGTTTATATATATTTTTAACTATAAAATTTATTTATATATATACATATCTAGATACAGTTGGGAACCTCCCAACAGTTGGATTTGCCGAAGATGATTCGTTGTTTTGCCCGTAGTCAATCCCCGACTTGTATCCACTTGAGGGATCCCGTTGGAATACGTTTTAAGTTTTCTATGGCCTTTAAAGCAAACCCAAGAAAATACTGCATGTCGTTCACTATCAGACGTTTGAATGACCGTACTGGTAGTTCTTTGACGGTGCAAGCTGTGACTCATGCTCAGGGTTGGGCAAGGATTGCAAGGGTTACAGGCACCCGGCTCATCGAATCTTCATCAGATCTTCATCGAGAGCTTACAAACACAAAAAGCGCTCCATCTGCATGTCATTTGAAGATCGGTGATTTCAGCATATTTTAAGGGAAGACATACGGGAAAGCCTGACTGTACATTGAGGGGGTAAATTACGGTAAATACCAAGCATTACCAAGCTTTTCTGCAACCCGTCCCTTCCATCAATGCCCATAGTTTCGTGACAATTTTGGAACATACTGTACCACCATTTTCAAAGAAGACCAGCTGATGGTTTGGCCATGATATTACAAGTTATTTGTTGGCAAAGCTCTCCTTTATGGTTAGCAAGATTCCACACGATCCATGCAGTTAGGAAAAAATGAATCGTGATAAATCACCGCATCATCAGACCCATCGCGTGAGATATAGAAACCCTCCAAAAAAGGAACACATTTTTCTTTGTTTTTTGACAATACATACATTCATGTTTATAATGATATTTTGAAACATATGCGATAGTTTTTTTTTTTAAGTAGTCTACCTTCTTTGGGGTTGTTAGAATGATTGCGCTTCGGTAATCAAAGATGGCAATGGAAAATTCAAAAAAAAACACTTTTTTTTTGTGGATTTCCCAGCTTGCCATGTTTGATGACACTGCATAGTAATTCCATTGTATAATTGCCATTATTCACCATTATTGACAATGATTAACCACGAATCACCATTACATAATCAACATGAATCACAATTAATTAATCATTAATCACCATCAAATTCGACAGTTAGAGGGACTTTTCGATTGCCAAATGCCATTAGTCCTACGAAAAATATCACTGGCATTATTCAGGATCATGATTATCCAGATTCATAATCTATTCTCTCCCCATAATCTTTTCTTTTCCACCATTTCTGTTGGTGAAGTTACCATTTTTGTGCCGAAACTCATCATGGTTCATCACCAATCACCATTACATTGACTGTTAGAACCAATATTAATCACCATTCATCACCATGAACTTCGATGATTTTCACCATTGAATCACCAATTGTCCACCATGTTTTAGAGAAAAAAGGCCCACGGCCCACGCCAGATTCATCCACGCCTTGCTGCGCGCGGATGTCCAATGCCTCGCCGTGGAGGACGACTTCGGACGTGGTAAACTCAGTGGGTTATTGTTGGTGTTTTATGACATGAATTAAAACATTGATATAATTCAATAACAGTTATAGATCATAAGGCAGCTATAATTAGCTAGACATGTTTATGATTATTGTTAGCCAATTTATGGTTTATTATTTTTGATTATTGATGGTTTATAACTTAAGATTTTATGAGTTGTTTATGATGTATGATTATGATCTAGTTTATTCTATTTTCAATCTAGATTGCTAATTATATGCTCACACTATGATCTATAACAGTGATATAAATCAATTTATCTAGCAAATATTTGCATGATATGTTTTATGGTCTATGTTTTATATAGTTGTCATGATTAATTAGCTACTGATAAGCCGGCAAAAACAGAAGTAATGAAATAATATGACAATTATATATAACCATATTCAAAAACTAAGTATAGCACTGATAAGTAATGAAAAGTAATGTATACAATAATAAATTTATGAAGCAAGTAATGATAGTTACTTAATGTATAAGGATGATTGGCTAAAAAGCAATGAAATACTGTAATAATATTTATATAAGTAATGAAATAAGTAATGCAATAAGAAATGATTATGATTATAACAAGAATGTACCTATCACTCAATGGGGAGTTTAACTAGTACTCAATTTAGCTATATGTTGCTAGCTAATGAATGACAAGTAATGAAACAATCATAACAATTATCGGCTAAACAATGACCAAACGCTAATATTCATTTTTGCTAAGTCATGATAAACAACCGCCAAGTACTGTTGAAAAACATGGTAACATAGCTAAATGCTAATCATTATTTTGATAAACAGCCAATAGCTATTTTGCTTCGCTTGCCATCATTATGCATTTTGTTGCTACTGGTGTTATTGTTGTTTGACTAGCACGGTTGGTAATGACTACCCGCATTTACTACAGTGGTTACCAGTATTGTCATGGATGAATAATATGTCCAGTGTCACCAACAATTATCACGTACGACGGCGGGTCACATGTTATGCCGATAAGTTTAATGAATATATATATATATGAATATGATTGTTCATACATGGTTGTGTGAAAAGATGGGTGCCCCTAGATCCAATATGTTATTTATATAAGCCATCACAGGAGGCTGGTCCTTCAGCGACGCGCTTTGTCTCTGCCAAGCAGTGGCCTCGGAGGTACATTTTGGGGAAAACTGGGGCGTCACATCCAACAGAATCCAACATACCTAAATACCATGTGTTAGAAGGATGCATAGAAAGATAGATGCATCAACATTGATATAGATAGATAGACATAAGACATACGTCCACAAATGCTTTGGGTGACATATAATTACTTAGATAGATAGATAGATAGATTGATTGATTGATTGATTGATTAGCTTAGTTAGTTTGCTTAGATGAGATAGACAGACATACACAGAATTAGATAAACAAATAGATAAGCCTGATAACGAAACAAATAGACAAAGAAGATCAAGATAAATAGGTAGATTCAACTGGATAGATGGACACTTAGACAGATACGGATATGGAGGTTTCACAAATGGGGGTATTCCAGAAATGGATGGTTATGTCATGGATAGTTTCCGATCTATACTATAAATGGATGATTTGGGGCATCCCTTATTTTAGGAAACTTCCATATCCTACACATTTCAGACGTGTTACATCCCTGGACGCCGCAAGAAAAGCCTCGTACTGAGGCAAGCTTTGCGGCGTCCGCAGCAGGGAGCTCCTGAACAGGCGAGGCAAGGTGAAACCATGGGTTTTGAAAATATTTTACCCTCTGTTAACCCAATAGATCAGGTTAGGTTATTTTCTGCCTAAAAGGTAATTCCTTATTTCCTACCTAATTTGATACTTTTTTAAGGTTGCAGAATAACCTTTCTTAAGGTTATTTACTTTTTTTCTTAAGGTTATTTACTTTTTTTCTTAAGGTTATTTAATTATTTGAAGGGTTTTGTTAAAGGTATTTTCTCCTTTTTGTTTGAAAAAATGTCTTAAAAATGTGTGTTTCCCAAGATTTTTGTTGTATTTTTGCATGTAGGAAGTAGGATTACTTTGTGTCAAGACTTTGTGCAGATAGGATTGCTGTTAGTTTGTTAGTTTTTTGTGGAAAGTTGTCACACTGGCCCAAGCTGGCTTCAAGACTTGCTTGGAAGTTGGAAGACATGACACCACATGGCAGAGTTTGCACATGTCATGGCTGCCTATTTCAATGTAGTCACACATGGACATTGGTCAGGCAAATCATGTTTGACACACAGGAAATGGCAAACATACACAAACTTTTACAACTTACCTTCCTTTTTGCTGCCATGACTGGCAAAAGCAGACTTGGACCTGACCCTTCGATTTCAATCAATGACCTTCAAAGGAAAATCAATGAAGTGATGCAAAGGCAGGGCTGTCGTGACTTGAACAAGCTCTTGCACAGCAGGCATGCTGTGAGTTGGAAAACAAGTCCAGATCCAGAATGGCTTGGCACTGATGAGTTGGTGGATATATGCTCCACTCTTTTCTCTTTGCATACAAATGGTGTACTGCAAAGCACCAAAATGAGAAAAGCTTTACTTGCCTTGCAAGCAGAATCTGGTCGCATCAACTTCACCAAACTCCATGATACAGATTTTGCAGATGGGATGGATGAGAAAATTCGAATTGCTTGCCAGCAGTATCGAGAGTTGAAGAGAGACCCCAAAAAATACCTCAGATGCATTAAGAAAGCTTCTGTGAAAGAGAAGAACAATATAGACAATGTGTTGTCCTTTTTGCAATTACATGAGGATGATACAGTGCAAATTGGAAAAGACCAAGGGCAGGAAGAACTTGGAGAAATTGAAACAGACCAAAAGCAGGAAGAACCTAGAAAGGATGAGGATAGCACCTTGCCTTAACCCTCCAAAGTTTTCAAAAGGGTTCTGTCCAGAGAGGCATCAGACCCAGCTTCGCCAAGCTTTGCAGCCAAGAGCACCAAGCAGGTGTCTGGCAGTGCTTCTTTTTTGGACAGGAAAGGCAGTGGCTCTTCCTTGGAAGGCAAAGGCAATACAGATTCCCTGGACAAGAAAAACAGTGGCTCTTCCTTGGAATGCAGAAGCAATACAGATTCCTTGGGAAGGAAAAGCAGTGGCTCTTCCATGGGAAGGAAGGGTTCTTCGAAAATTGACCTCCTGGATGAGCTGGATTTGAGTGCTGATGAAAAAAAGGAGCTTGCAGTTTGGATGCATGAGAATAGCAAAATGGAGAAGAAACAGAAAAGAAAAAAAGGAAACAAATCAGGCATGAAGAAGCCTGCTTCTTCTGTGGCTCCAAAGAAAACAGCTACAGCAAAATCTGTGAAAAGCCAGGTTTCCAGAAAGAAGCAAGCAACTTACAAGACAAGTTTCATGCAGAGAGCCACTTCTAGTGCCTACCATCGAGAGAAACTGAAGGCATTGAAAAAGGGCAAGTCTGAAGAAGCTGCTTTGGATGCTGCTAGGATGGCTTCTGCCAAGGTGAGAGATGCCATCAACAATGGTTTGATGAAGGAAGAATAAGACACTTTGGCAGAGTCTTCCTGTGGGTTGGATATAAAAAAAGTGTCAGCTGCTTTCCAGTGCTTTAGGATTACTTTTGGAACTTGCAGTGCGATGTGGTTTGGCTGTCTAGGATTATTTTTTGGGTCACTTCTTTTGTAACTTGCAGTGCAATGTGGTTTTGCTGTCTAGGATTTTTTTTTAGTCACTTTTAGGATTACTTTTTCACTGAGTTTTTAGGATTACTTTTGTTGTTTTAGGATAGCTTTTGTTGTTTTTAGGATTACTTTTTAGGATTACTTTTAGGATTACTTTTGTTGTTTTTAGGGTTATACTGTCTGTGTGTCTTAGGATTACTTTTGTCACTTAGGATTACTTTTTGTCATAGGACAACATGTGATCACAGGACCCAGAATCCAAGCCCTTTTTCACTAGGATTGAAATAGCAAGTACAAACAAGAACAAACCAGCTCAAGCACAAGCACAAACCAGCACAAAAATCTTCTGGAAACAGCAGCAAGCAGAAAGAATGGATAGGGAATCCTTGCCTTTTCGCCAAGATTCAAATAGCAAGTACAAACAAGAACAAACCAGCACAAGAACCTTCTTGAAACAGCAGCAAGCAGTAAGAAGCACATCCATATACCAAACACAAACACTTTCGCATTTGTAGTTAGGATGTCTTCAGGGGGTGATGAAATGTGCCATGGTAGGCTGTATTTGAGGAATGTCCCACTGGGTTGGACTTGGTGGGATGTTTCTCAATGGGTGCAGCAGCAGGGTTTGCCACAGCCTGCATGGATCCATGTGCATGGTGGAGGGTGTGACATGACCAGTGTGTACATCCACTACCATTGCACTTGGAACCAGCTGGCTTACTACTGTAACCAGTTGAATGGGCATTGGTTAACTCACCGAGCTACCACTTGCCAAAGCTCTGTGTTGCCCCCAGCAAAAAGAAGCAGAGTTTCTCGGCTCAAAAGCATGGTGGAACAACACCATGAAGGTTCCTGCAAGGGCAGGGGTAGAACTATTTTTTTAGACTACCACGGGCTGCATAAAAATGCAGAGGGGAAGCTGATAAGGGGTGAATGCCCTTGCTGCACCCAACCTTGGCCTCAATGCTTCACATGCTTTGTTTCTTGATCTTGGGGAAATAGGATTACTTTAAGTGTGCTTTTCTAGGGTTACTTTTGAATCTCAATATATGGTGTACAGAATCTTGTAGGATTACTGGGGTGGAATTCAATCTTTGTTCAATTTAGGCTGAAGTGAGGGACCAAAGGTGTCTTGCCTGCAATTGCTGCTAGGATTACTTTTGTTGCTTTTTTCATGTGACCAAGTGTGCTTTGGACATGGCAAATCTTTGAACAAATCAAATCAGGTATGGCAGTGCTGGTCCTCGCATTCAGCAGGAACGGGATGCAATGTCCCAGGAGCAGACACTGGTCAACAATTAATTTGTTTCATGTGACATTGCAAGCTGTTGATGTTTCCCTGCATGGTGCCTCTGTGCATGCAATTTCTTTTCAAGTTGTGACATGTTTGGTTGCTTCTCAGGAAGGATCGCATGGGCTTCACCACCTTTGAAGTTTTTGCAGAAGCTTACTTCAATGCCTTGTGCCTTGCTTGCAGCATTGAAAATGGATGTTGGCAGGGTGCTACTTAGCCCTTGCCAAGCTATGGTTCTGTTCTGCATTGTCAGGGAACCTGGTGTCCCAGATCCAGTGGTGCCAAAGCATCTGGCTTGCACCATTGTTGTCTGCAACCTTTTTAGGATTACTTATGCAATGTTTCTTCAACCAGAGTGTTTAGGATTGCTTTGTTCTTGTCTTGCTAGGATTACTTAAGCATTTTTTGGCTCTACTGTTTAGGATTACTGTGTGGTTGGTTTCTTCTGTGTACACCTGTGCACTGAGGGTGGCACCAACCAGCAGCTCCTCTTCTGCCCCATACACACCTCCTCCCAGCAATGCTATGGGTGGACCTGCGACTTTAGATTGCACAAAAAATAGGATTGCTTTTCTGTGCATTGCATTCCATGTTTCAGCAGCTTTGAGCATAAAAACTAAGGAGTGGTATGCCAAAGGCATTTCAGGTGATGAACTTGATGCCAAAGTACAAGGCCCCTCCAGCTGACATCCAGCCATCTTCAATGGGACCTAAGTGGCTGGATTGCAAGAATCATTGTTTGAAATACATGTCGGTTTTCTTGGGATTACTTATTGTGCTGTTAATATCTTCCAAGGTATGGTGGCTCTTCCAATTGCCCTGTGAAAGCTCCACCTGTGTACACTGGTCTTACCTATGTGGCAAAGTGCCATGTCTTATTTCAGTTGACCTAGGATTACTCTTGATTTTTTTGGGAAGCAAAACCAATAAGTGTTGGGATCAGGAACTTTTTCATTTGTTGGCAGCTGAGGCATCCTCCCAAGCAAATGGCAGCTCCTAAGCAGTGCTTGGGCCAAAACATGGACTGTTAGGATTACTGTTGCTGCTAAAAGTGTTGCTGGTTGGTTTTTTTTGCACTTCTGTTGTGTCTCAGGTTGATTGTCAAAAACCTTCCCCCTGGTGCAGCTGAAATGAGACTAGACTGCACTCTACTTAGGATTATTTTTCTTCAGCATTGGCTCATGACATTTGATGCATTTTTGATTTCAAAACTTCAGGAAATTGGAGGAACCCTGCCATGGAACTACTGTTCCACCATCAAAATGCTTGCCAAAGTGACTTAGTGGCAGAATTTTTTTTTGTTGAGTCATTGTCTAGGATTGCTGTTGCCCTTCTCAGGGTGCTGATAGCGCAGCTGACCATGGAAAAGGCTGCTTCCACCAATGTTTCAGAGACTGTGCCAAAGTTTCTTGCCAGCATTGGGTTTTATTTTGCATGCACTGTCTAGGATTACTTGTGAATGTTCTTCCAGATTTATGTTCATCAACTTTTTTTTTGTGGGCTGCATGCCTTTTGCTTCTTTTCTGAGGAATGCTGGCACTGCTTGGTTGGGTCCAATTGCTACATCACCATTGCCTAAGTTACTGGTCTGCAACTTCAATGGACTGCCTCATCATTTTTTTTGCATTACATTGCAGGTTAGTTCAAGATTACTTGGGAATCAAATCTAGCATATAACTTTTGATCCTGTCTCTTGGGTTAATGTTAAAATCATGAACACAATTTCTAAGGGAACCTGCTGGCAAGAGCACTGCAATTGGATCTGCCAGTGTGAAC